TCAGATTATGCTAGTGATCTGGATAAATGTAGATCAACTACTGGTTATATATTTATGCTCGCAAAAGCATCAGTTAGTTGGAAGTCTACCTTACAGTCAATGGTTGCTTTATCTACTACAGAAGCGGAGTATATGGCAACCACAGAAGCTGTAAAGGAAGCAATTTGGCTTCAAGGATTGCTTGTGAACTTGGAATTGATAAAAAATATGTCAAGGTGCATTGTGATGGTCAGAGTATTATTCACTTGGCAAAAAACGAAGTTTATCATGCAAGGACGAAGCATATTGATGTTCGATATCATTTTGTGCGAGAAATTTTGGAAGAATGTGGAGTCAAAATACAGAAGATTCGGACTACTGAGAATCCTGCTGATACGTTGACAAAAGTCGTGGCTGGGATCAAGTTCAAACTTTGTTTGGACCTGATCAATATTGTCAAAGTTTGAAAATGAAATATGAAGACACTATCAAATATTGTCCGTGAGGGATTTCGTTTGAAGATGTGAGGACTCGTCAAGGTGGAGATTTGTTGACCAATTTTTACCTCATCCCACATCGGAGGTTTAGGATGGGCTGAAGGCTCTTCCTAACTATAAATAAGGGCCTTGGCTCTTCATTAGAAATCATCCCAAAATTGTCTATTCATCTTCTAAGACAATTTTCTTCTTTCTCCCTCTATTGTAATATTTCACTTTGTAGTCATTCTTAGTGAAATATAATTTGGTAGTGTCCGAGGACGTAGGCATTATTGGCTGAACCTCGTTAAATTCTGGTGTTTTTTATTTTGTTATTATCTGATCCACAACAAGTATATCTACTCCCGTGCAGCCAAGTACCATATCAAAATAGCAAGCAAACATAGCAAAATAGGCATGTAATAAACTAAGGAAGACTGAAGCCATACTTACAAGAATATCCTGGCCTATCCAGGAGTATGATGCCTTACGATTTGCAGCCCATAAAATGGCAAAAGCCAACCAAAATAGCAACACTAGCAGAGAGAGAATGGAGACCTCTCCAAGAAGTGGCAAATTGACAGTTTTCCTTCCACAATTTTTGCATTTGCTGCTCAATTAACAAGAAAATATAAATATTCAGAGTGCAAGAGGATTTATTAAGCACATAAAAACAATTGACAGGTTAGGATGAGGGGAAAAGAAAAGAGTAAGTGAACTGTACCTCAGAACAAGAGATACTATACAAGAATGCATTCCCTGCCAAAAAGCATTGCCCACGGAAAAGTACATATTAACGGAGTGAAGAGGCAAAAAGGTTGTTTAGAGTATTATCACATTTTAGCATGAAGAGAAATATAGTAGAATAAAATGAATGGCCATACAAAATCATAAATCACGTTGAAAGGAGTTGAATAATTCTTTAAATTGCAAGGCAAGCTTCACAAAGAAAAACTTTTGTCCAATTGGTCCCTAACATTTTCACAAAAAACTTTGTTAGTTCCTAGCATTTAAAATCAGCTATAATAGTCCCTAACATATAAATTATGAACCAATTTGGTCCTGATGCTCGTATTTGCTCATTTTTCCAGCTAAAAATAGCAAGCCTCTCTCACGTGGACATAATTTAAAAGAAAAAATCGAAAAACACACTTCGCTCCCCCGGATGAACATGAGATTGTTTAGAAAGCTTACTTCATAATTTAGGCAGCCATAGAATCTTCTCCTTGGATTTATAGGTTTCCAAAAAGTCACAATGAGGGGTTCCCTTTCACAAAGATATCGCTCGTTATTTGGATCTATGGTACTCTTCAATAGGTTAGCTTCTTCTTCGCATTTTCTAGCTATTCTTCCTCAATTGCACAGTCATCTAGTTGCAACTGCATTTTCCCTCTTCAAATTTGGTTTTGATGTAAGGCAATTATGGTTTAATTGAAAAAATATGAAGGAAAGATGGAAAACTCAACCAAAAAAGAAGTGTATTTTCTGATTTTGCCCTTGAAATTATACCCAAGTAAAAAATGTGCGCTATTTTTTGTTGGAGAAATGAGCAAATACAAGCATTAAAATCAAACTGACTCATAATTTTTATGTTAGGAATTATTTTGGCTGATTTTAAATGTTGGAACTAAAAAAGTTTTTTTTTTTGAAAATATTAGGAACCAATTTGACAAATTTTCCTAAAATAAATAATAAGGGTGTAAATAATAACAAATAAAGTGCAAATACCATTTTCTTCTCCTCGACAAATTAAAAACATGAATGAATAAATTAGAAGGCATTAGTCACTGCATGAGGTGACAGGAACAAGACACGTTACCGCAGCCAACAAGAGGCACTCATCCCTCTCTCTCACCTTACCAAGGAGTTCTCAATGCCTTGGCTGCCAGCCAACCTGCCACTCGGCCTAGCTTCCCCAGGCAGTATCCTCTCCTCTACCTGTCGATCCATATTTCTTTCCCTTGACCCAACATAGCATTTTCCATCGTCAAGAACGTTTCAACAACATTAAAGACCCACACCCACAACATGTTTTTCTTCAGCAGCAAAATAAATAAAAGTTGAGGTAATGAATCGTGTAGATGATGATACCAAAGAAACTGTTACGTTCAGAGCCGTAAGCAGAGACGAGGAGGGGCGAAAGCATGTGGAGCAAGCGGAAGTAGACAGTCACAACGTGGACACGCTTGAGTACATAGAAAAGAAACTGATTGACAAGGGCGTCCAGAGACAAGACTGTCGTCCTATTGATGGGATTCCGTTAAGCCGTCAGCATAAGTCCGGTCACGGGGGAAAGCATACTTGGGAGGGTCCCAGGGACACGGCGGAGAATGAACTGGGTGCAGCTCCTCCTGCCATAGATGAAAACGATCCAAACTATGTGGATGAAGAGGCGAAGGACAGGATACTTAGGGGGGAGGTTAGTGGGGTCGCCGGGTTGGTGGTCGGAGAGTTGGAGCTCCCTAAACTTGCTGAAGAAAGTGTGGCTAGGATTGATGTTGATCCTCAATTGCTGACCAATATATAGTTTTTTTTTTTGTTTTTTCAATTGGAATGATTTTATTTTGTAACTGGGGAGGTTTAGTTTGTAGGCATGCAAACTTTGTGCTTTTCTTTTTATTTTTATTTTCTGGGTAACTTAAACTTAGTGCTTTTCTGCCTTTCTTTAGTAGCCCTGCTGTCTAGGTAGCAGTAACATTTTTTGTGGTCGCTTTTTAGTATTCCCCCCCTCCCAGTAAAATCAGCACTTCTGAGTTCATTTCTCAATAAGCACCAGTATTAGTGTGCAACTGTAATTGAATGCTTGATGGAATAAAGAAACATCTTTCCTGTTGAATTTTAGTGTTTCCAATAAAATTGGGATCAAATTATCTAGTAGTCATTAAACCTTTGGATAGTTGAGTTTGGGTAATTCAAATATTAATAGTATATTTTTACTCACTGAACTATTAAAAATATAAATTTTGAGTCATTTCGCATGATGCCATTATTAATTCTGCCAAATTCAACTATTAATAATGTGTTTTGTGAATTGTGCATGCATTCAAATTTGGTAGAGTTAATGATGAAATCAGACGAAATTTCCTAAAATTTATAGTTGGATATGTAGAAATACAATATTATTTAAATTCACACATTCGATAGTTGAAATGTAATATCAATCATTAAGTGATCAAATTTTGACTGTTGAAAAAATTTAGTGACTATCGTAAAATTTTACTCTAAAATTGGAGTTTCGATACTATAGAAGCTATGCGAATCTTCCAGCAATTTAAATTGCAACTGGCGTCGGTTATTCTCGTTCAGCAATGAGCACGGGGTAGGGGTGTCAACGAACCGAATCGAGCTCGAATACTAGTTTGATCGAGTTCGAGTTCAACAAAGTGCTTAAGGCTCGAGATCGAGCTCGAGATCGACGAATATTAATTTCACATGCTCAAATTCGATTCGTAAGGAATTCGTGAGGATCGAGCTCGTGTTCGAAATTGCTCGAATTGAGGTCGAGCTCGAACCATTAAAATTGTGCTCATTTAAAGCCTGCTGAACCAAACAATCTACTATCTTTAAGCAGAATTTGTCCTTTATTCAGCCTTTTATGAACCAAATCACTTTGGCAGTGACATTTTCTAACAAATTTTGCCGGGGAAATGACAAGCTAATGCAAATGCAAAAACTTCAAATATAAATCACAATTTATGTGCAAAGTTACATCGAGACAAAAAGCATATGCATCACAAAAATGGATAGACTTGATACAATTTTAAAAATGGAAGATAAAAGCTCTGCTATACGTTACTGAACAACACTGTCCTAAGTCCAAACTCATCCATATGATTGAGAATCTAAGACAAGCCAGCTTTAAATATCAATTTAAAGCCAAAGCACCAAACTATCAAAAATTTTGCAGCCGTTATGCAAGTTGTCAACCAATATCCTAATTCATCAATACATATTTTAACATCAAAACCAGCATCCAAATTCAAAGATAAGTCAGACAACCAACATCCACCAAGTAACACGAATAGAAAAAACAAAGACAAAGTGTCAACAACTCAACATTCAAGTGAATGTCTTCAACAGGTAATGTCAATTGTCAAGAAATAACCATACTTAAAAAAGTGAAACAAATTTTGCAAGTAAAGCAATAAAACAACAACTTCTTGTCCATTCCACGATAATCCTTTCCAACTTTCCAATTTCAACTACAGGCCCTATCAAAAAAAAATAATTTAAGTAATAAAATAGTAGTGGTAAAATCTAAAACAAGATCTTTGAAGAGGAATCGAAGTGTTAAACACAAACAATGTACCTTTCCAATTATCATATTCATTTTATGGGAAGTAGAATCTCTTTTGCTGCCTTCAATTTCTGCAAAATAATAATAACAATAAGTAATAAACTAATTTTGTTTCAATAACATGAATTTGAAATAAACTTACTTTTATCTTTTTTTTTCACTCCATGAATGTTTTGGCACCAATCTCCGGCACACATAATCATTTCTATAGTTTCAATAGCTAGTGAGGCTCTATAAGAGTCAATTGCTCATGTTCCAGCGCTAAATGTAGCCTCAGAAGTAACTGTGGTAATAGGAATGGCAAGGATATCGGCTGCCATCTTGGATAAAATTGGGAATGTGAGCTTGCTATTCTTCCACCAATTCAAACAATCAAATTCATGTCGCGGCACACTTGAATCAATCTTAATTGGACCCTTTTCCAAATAGATGAGTAATTCAGATTCTTGAGGCGGTCCAGTTTGATATTCCCTCACATACTCATCAAAATCATCCCAACCCGAACCAGAAGCACTACTTTCAGAAACACTACTTGAAGAAACCTGAGAATCCTTTCTATTTCCACCCTCACGTAATTCATTTGCTTGCAAATATTCATTGTATAATTCAAAGACAGCATTTCTAACCTTTTCAATATTTTGCTGAGCTTCACTAGGTGGAAAAAGTTTAGAAAAGCAATATTCTATAGCAGTCATTTTCTGTCGAGGATCTAAGACAGCAACCACAGCCATTAATAGATTACATTCTCCCCAATACTCATCAAATTTGAATTTCATCTTTCTCACCATTGCTCTTACGAAATCATCATCATCATTAGCCTTACTATCCAAAACTAGCTTTATTCTCTTAACTTCTTGAAGAAACAAATTTGAAGTTGGATAGTCGCTACCTAAAATGATGTTTGTAGTTGCCCAAAATGTCTCTAAAATGCTGCATACTTTTTCAACTTTCTCCCAATCTTCTTCGAATGGACAGCAATAATACTGTGCGTCTCGTTCTCGATACATTGGAAAATCTCTTTGAATTTGATTGCACAGTTCAACATCTCGAATGTAGAGTTCCACCGTGTCCTACAATCATGAATAAGCTTTCTTCCAGGAAGTCGAAACTGCTGCACAATTTCTGAAAATAAAATTTGTCAACTTTCTCTTCGGCCCACAAAGTCAACACTGTCACGAACATTTTCTACTATGTCTAGAATCTCCCCGAGACCATCTTGCACCATCAAATTCAGCACATGAGCACAGCATCGAACATGAAAAATTTTGCCACCACAAGCTAAGGGGTTACACCTCGAAAACGTGTCCTTCAGTAACCGGACAGCCACATCATTAGCTGAGGCATTGTCGACCGAAATTGTAAAAATTTTGGTCTCGATGCCCCACTCTTTGACACATTTGAATAGAGCGTCCGAAATGTCAATACCTCTTCGAGGTGGAGGAAGATTGATAAAGTTCAAGACCCTCTTTTGTAGCTTCCAAGAACAATCAATCCAGTGCCCTGTGATCACCATATACTCGATCTTCTGGTTCTTGGACTTCCACAAATCAGTGGTTAAACTTATTTTCTCAACATCCTTCAACTTATTTTTCAATATCTTTTTCTCAGCTTCATAAATCTTCACACAATCAACTCTACAAGTATTACGAGTAAATTTTTTCCACTCCGACATCCCTAGTTTCTGCATGTAGTTGAATCCCTTTTCCTCTACAATGCTAAATGGGTGTTCATGCATCAACACCCATTTAGCAGCTGCCTCCCTTATCATCTCCATCTCAAACTTCCCAGAATGTAGTGGAGGAATAGGAAATATAGCTGCATCAGCCGGTGGAAAATTGAGCATTGATTGTTGAGAAGCTTGTGATAATTGTCTTAAATGAATCTTTTTCTTCACACAACTGTTGCTATGTCTTATCATACTAGAAGTGGTTCCCGTTGTAGTCCGGGCTTATTTAGTTAGGCAGTGAATACATTCTGCCTTTCTCTTTCCTTTTACTACAACCTCTCGAAAGTCATCCCAAGCTTTAGACATTTTTGCTCTTTTGCCTTCTTCAGCCTCTTCCATACCTGGCTGTCCACTTTCTCCATCTCCATCTTCTCTATTTTCAGCTTGTTGGTCATCATCAGCCTCTTGATTTATTGTTTCATTACCTTCCTCACTAATTTTGTGTGAGTTTTGAGGATCGGCTTCCATTCTTACCAAATCTTGTTCTGCACTATTTGCATTAGAGGAATCTTTCCCTGACATGACTCGATTGGAATAAGATTCAAGTGGGGTTATGGGTTGACCTGAAAATTATAACAAAGAAATTTTAGCTGATTTTCGAATCAAAAGCTGCACTTGGATGAGAAAAAAAGAGCTAATTCTAACTAGTACAGCAAATTCCATAACTAGTTCATCCTAGTAGTTGAACATTTTTAACCAATACAGCAAATTCCTATAATACAAGGAAATTTAATAATGAAGATAAAAAAAGTTATACTTAACAAACCTGAAAATAATCAAGAGGGGTTAAAAAAGAACTATAGCAGCCATTGCACCAGTCATAGATCATTTTAAGTTGGTTGCTTTTCTTTTTCTTCCAAGAGTTAATAAAGATTGAGAATAAAAACTAGAACGAACTAAAACTAACTTCAATGGCCAGAGATTAAAAGCTAATTGAATGATTGTTCCTTTTATATCAATTAATAGAAGCCTTTTAACAGAGAATACATTTCTTGAAGAAATTTATTAGAGAAAGAACTGATGGAAGTATGAAGTAAAAATTGGTTGTGGAATCTGAACTCTCACTTTAACAAAAATTTGAATAATCTAAAACATGTGATTGGGTTAAAATATTACGGATACCATCCCATTTTACTGGACCTCCATTATGGTGTGAAGAATGAGAGTGGCTCACACAAATTTAGGAGAGATCCGATATCTGAATCTTCAGTTCAATCTTCCCCTATGTGAGGAGAGCACCATTCACGATGATGACAGGAAACAGATACTCGAGTCACAGCATTAGGAAAAGAGATAGAGACAGGGAAATAGGAGAGAATAAGCAGCTCTCTCTGTCTCCTATCTCTGAGAGAGGAAGGTACTATACTCGCTGGAGCACAACCCCAGTTTTTTGGTCTCTGTGGCCAAATATTTCTCTATATGTTTTTCTATAGGCAGCAAAAAGGCTTAAAAAGGAGATTGATTATTCAATGAACACGCAAGTAATACACCTACAGTAATATTTCTTTCTACACCTACAGGATTGATTATTCATTGCTACTGTTTTGCAGCAGAAAACCATTTCCGAGCGTGTTGCTCTCAGGGAAGTTGGGTTTGCAATTAGTGGCTCAAACTGGATGTAATATCATCACATTTGATAAGCAGCAAAGCTGAAGAAAGAAAGTGAAGAAACTTCAAATTGTTAAATTTGACATGCATGGTTACATAGGCAAATGGATGTTATCAAGAATTTGCTGCTCAAACCAATGAATCATCATCGCCCACAGAAGTTATGACTTTAAAGAAAAGCAGATTATATTCTCAAAAAAAAAAGTAGATTATATTCATACAAGCAAATAAGTCATCGATCCCAAATAATTAACCAATCTAATTTTTACAGCCATAAAAATATATATGAATGCTACGTCATTTTCTACTCTCTTTATACACAAATATTTGACCCCAAATCATTTGTTCTGAAGAAATCCTGACACTGCATAATCTAATTTAGTAAATATCTTTTCCCGGAAGCATACAGATTATGAACCCTAGTTATGTGCCTATTTTGCTGAGATTTATTCAGTGAAATTATGCTCCAGAGATCACAGAATTTAAGCCAAAAAATGACGAGGTTGTGACGAAGCTGGGACCAGCCAAAATACTTAAGGATAACATCTTACCTACTGTACGATTGCACCTGCTTCAAGATCCAAGCTCCCGCTCGCCGCTTCCTGCACCGACTGCAAATAGGTGGAGTTAGCAACAACGAAATGAAACGGCTGGACTGTTGGAGTTAGCAACCCAAATGGGTTTGATTTGAAATTGGAATTAGGGATTGAGATGAGGAATGAAGATTAAGGAATAGGGAATTAGGGACGGAGCCACTGAGGTGAGGAAGAAGAAAGAAGACGGCGGAGGCGGACAAGACTGAATTGAAGCTCTTGACCTAATTAGGAGTTTGATATGTGAATTTATTTTTTTTTTAGGAATTATCTGAAAAGACAAGAATACCCCTATTATATTTTGAATTTTAATAGGTAAATCATGTAATTAAGCTTACAACTATATATATCCAAGTAATTTTATAAATATAAAATTATATATATATAAATATACCTTAAGCTCGAAAAGCTCGCGAGCTTATCGAGTATAGCATTGTTAGGCTCGAATTCGATTCGTTGAAATATTCGAATAGTTCGAGCTCGACTCGAGCTCGATTTTACCGAACTCGAACCGATCTTTTGATCGAGCTGCTCGCGAACTATTCTCGAGCAGCTCGATTCGTTGACTAGTTTGCGAGCAGCTCGATTCGTTGACACCCCTAGTCAAGACTAAGAAAAACAATTGATCACTCTTTGTAGTCTTAGCTTTTCTTTTCATGATTCGAACGAATTGAGTGTTCTAAATCGGAGACAATGGCCGCAATTAATTTTCGCGTGGGTTTTTCTACTCAAGGATAAACTAAATCTTTTTTCTAGTCAAGGAACTTTGGGTCGCCTAAAAATTGTGAGAACGATTTAATTCTACCTTTTTCTCTTATTTATTGGTATTCACATATTCTCCGCTTACAGTGCTTATAGTTATTTAATTAATTGATTATCTTGGATCCGGATGTCGAATTAATTTGGTAACCTATTGTCAATTAGAGCATTAAATCCGTAATTGTTTAATTGCCCTGAAATAGTGACAACTGGCACGATTATGTTAGTGTCAGGGGAATACGCAGGCTAATCTAAAATAACCTTGGTAGTGCATTATTTGATTAGAATAGGACTCCTCTAATACGTAAGGCAATTGGGGAATTAAATCTTACGGGCGTACTTAGGATTATTTCTCAATTAGAGCAGTGATTAACGAGCATACCTTAATCACCGACACAGTAAGGAGGGGTTGACAGTCATCGCTTGTTTGGCAGTTATAACCTATTTATTAGTAAATAATTGGAATTACCCTTGCATCGATGATCAATTAGGTGAACCAGTGATAAAGTTATTTCTTGGCTAGACCTTTAGTTATTATTACTCTGATTTTAGTAAATTGTCATTTAATTGTTAGTTAGCTATTTGTTTTTAGTTGAACTGCTTTAATTCCCACATTTTATACAAAAACACCCCCGTGTTACTTTGGATTTCAAAAGAGACAAATATCCCCAATCCCTAAGGAGACGACCTTACTTGCCCTTTATACAAATCAATAATTTCTTGTGAATAAGTAATCTCATTCTGGTATATATCGGATTAAACAAACTCTTCGGAAACAGAGTGAATCAAGTAACCCATTGCACACCTAGAATCCCTGCTCCAGTACTTAGAATCGGGTTTTGATTACTTTAATTGGCAACTAGATTTATTTTTATTATTGCACAGGTATCGATAACCTGTCACTAACCTAACCCGTCCCTCCTCTCCCCTTTCTCCCAATGATTGAATGTACTTGCTTCTATACAAAACATTGACTTTTCATTTGATTTAAGCTTAATTAATCATACACTCTGCAACAAATGCAACAAATGGGAGATCAATCTTTGTTTTTTTTTTCTTGGGTAGGAGGCTTAAGTCGAAACTGAAGGCTGATTGTTAATTGTGAGTTGCAGCAGCCACATCAGATGATAATGACGACTTATCAGCATCTTCTAGTAATTCGAGTAACACCAAGTTGCAAATTAATGCCAATTGTTTTTTAATAAAAAGCAATTTTCATTAAAAGAATTACAGGAAATCATCCAGTACGATTTGATTTATATCAATGCCCTAATGGCAAGTTAAACATGTACTAGAAATAATATATCTACAATATAACAGAAGAATAGATCTGAAAAATTTTTGAATAGATCTGAAAATTACAAGAAATTTTCAAATTATCTTCTAATAATTAAATCACTTGAAATTAAGACTAATCTTAACCAAAATATCAGTACAGCAATTGCATTTTACATTCTCAATTTCGGCTTGACTTATCTCAAACTTTCCTTACGAGATTAAAATGGCATGATAGACTAAATGCACCCTTACTTTAGAGTCTGATTCAACCTCCAAATGCTTAATCGCCAAATTGCAAGCTAATTGAAGTTCCTTCCAAAGAGTCCATAGTTCCACCACTAAACTTGTACCATGACTAATATTAATTACAAAACCAAAACCCAAAAGCCCTGGGTTTTCTAGTGTGGACCTATCAGCATTAAATTTGGGAAAATCCCATCCAAGCAATATTGGCCGTCAAGGATAAACATCAACTCTCTGAATGCATCTTGAATGATGAATCTCCTTCTTTTATTGTATACACATTTCTTGTGTCTATCAAAGGATATGGTCTTATTTGAGGGGACTCAGCTATTGAGCATTTGGGGCAATGACACAAATGCAGCATTGCTACTTAGAACGTTATTTCCCAATCAAGATCCAACCACAACCAGACCGATATCACGTGAAGAAGCCAAATCTATCCATTCCTCCAGCCAAATTTCAACAACGTAAGAGAAACTACACGAATTCTGATATGTGGAGATGACAATGCTTGAAAGACCCTTTTCCAAGACGAATCATCCATTGTGACTTGTGAGCAAATTCCATCAGGCTTTTGGAAGAGTTGCTTTAATTAGAGTAGCCGGATTGTGAATGCCTAGTCCTCCTCTATCTTTTGGTTGATAAATAATTTATACGTCTGAGATGATTAATCAACTGTAAACAAAATTGGTTTTAGCATATTCCTATTGGACCAAGGTTCTAAAACATTACTCGTTGAATGAATGCTGTGTTAAAGATTGCTTGAATAAGATATCAATTAACAATAGATATCAATCAATCACTAACAAATGGAATATACTAATTAATTATTGACAAAATGTCAATCAATTAATCAGGATACCAATCACCAATCATTGCCTAATGGGAGATACCAATTAATTGTCAATCAATTAATTAGAATATCAATCAATCATGTGGATCATAATTTGCCTCTAAAGAAGGTAAGTCTTACATACTCCCACTTGACCCACATGCCATAGTTAGATAACTTATGAGTGACTAACTAGTTAAAAATGGTCA